TCAGAAGTTTGCTCGTCAGCATGGGATAAAGATCATCCCAACCCGATGGGTCATAGGCCCAAAGGTGGTGAATGGCAAGGAAGCTGTGAGAGCTCGGTGTGTGGTGCAAGACATCGCAAAGGGGAGCACAGCATCATCTTTAGGACTGAGTGCTACGACTCCTTCTTTAGAAGCGTTACGGACGCTTTTGGCCATTGCTTCGGTAGATGCTATGGATGTCGCAACTTTGGATGTTAGCACTGCATTCTTGCATTCCCCCCTTCCGAAAGGATCGAAGGCGATTATCCAATTGCCCAAGGATGTTTCCGCCTGCAAGGACTATTATGTCCCGGTGTTTATGATTCTGGATCAAGCCATGAATGGTTTGAGAGTTGCCGCCAAAGCTTGGAACTTGAAGCTGGCGACAGTTGTGAAGAAAGTTGGGTTGAAGCAATGCCCAACGGAACCTTCCGTCTTCGAGGGCACTGTGAGAGGGAAAAGATTCCTCATGTTGTGCTATGTGGACGATTTGATTCTGTGTGGCACTAGAGATGCCATTCGGTTGGTGACCGACACCCTGAACGGAGAGTTGAAGATCAAGGAAACGGGTCGAATCACTTCCACTGGTGGAAAGATCACCTTTTTGGGGCGAGAGATTGAGAGACAAGGGAGTCATCTCAGGATGCGAGTGCCCCCGGCATACTTAGATGCCCTGTTCGAGACAGAGTTCTGTAAGGACCTGAAGGTGGTTACTGCTCCTCCGGACATCGTGAAAACGGTCGAGAAGGGCAGAGCAAGTGGTTCGGATCCTGAGTTGAGTGACACTGCAGCTGCGAGGTACAGAGCAGTACTTGGCCGGATTGCATGGTGGGGTCAGTCGAGACCTGACCTGAGTAGGTGGATGTCCATTCTTTCGCAAGGACAGTCCAAGCCAACAGCATGCTTTGAGCAAGCATTGCGACAAGTGATTAGGTTCCTAAAGGGACAATACCATGCATGGCAGTACTTTGGCCCTGATGGGAATGTACCAGACAGTGGGCCGGCGCAGCTGGAAGTGTATGCGGATGCCAGTTGGGCACCCCAAGCGTCGTTAGGACGAAGATCTGTGTCGGGCATAGCCATCTTTTATAGAGGATGCCTGATCAAGGGAATCTCTCGAGTTCAAGGGTGTGTATCGCTGAGTTCTTGTGAAGCCGAGTTGAGAGCCATCTTGACTGCGGTACAGGAGAGTGAGGGACTTGCGACTTTGATCGGTCAGTTGGCCGAGTCAGATGTCACGATCCGATTGCACACTGACAGTTCCTCAGCGAGAGCGGTTTTGCTAAACCGTGGGTTGAGTAGGCGAGTTCGCCACTTAGACATCGCTGTCTGCTATCTTCAGGAGCGGATACAGGAAGCTCAGACCTTGAAGGTCATTTGGTGCCCGACAGCGGGAATGATCGCTGACGTTCTTACAAAGTGCTTGAGTCAAGTGACATTCTGTCAGCACCAGCAAGCTATGGGTATATACCCTGGTGAAGATGTGCAGCAGGTGTGGAGGATCTGTGGAATCCGACCAAGGGTTGGAGTTCAGGCATACCAGTGTGCCGAGGCAACTGGATGCAGTGTGGAGCAAGTTGGATCGTTGAAAAGTGTGAAAAAGTGTGGTGAAGTTTTTGAAAATTTCCACCTTAGAAGTCCCGAAACCCTTCGTGAAGACTCTTCCCCTGAGGTTCAAGAAATGGATTTATGGTCCACCCGCAAAAGCTTTGGTTCAAGCACCACGGAAGCTAGCCCTAGCCTGGAGCCTGTACCTTTGGTGAAGGACAGGAAAATGGCAGCTGAAGACAGCAGGAAGGGTGAGCAGGGTGCTGAGATGAAAAGCCCCTTTTGGTGTAAGGTTTGCAAATGGTTGTTCAGATCCGAGCATGCTGCCGGGTTGAGCTGGGATGAAAGTGGCAAGCCCAAGTGCGAAAAGTGCAAACAGACTGTGACAGTCTCTGGCACGGATGCAAGCCATGCATTCCATCTCCGAGAGGCAGAGAAGGAGCGCCGAGCTGCTGGAAAAAGGGGTGATAAAGGTGAAAGCCGAGGCTCAGGCCAAGCTGCACCGAAACCCAAGGCCATGCCGAAGGTGATTGAACGGATGGTCGACGTGTTTCCGGAGCTGGCGGATCCAGAGCCGCCGAAGTGGTTCGGTGATGTGTCATGGAGTATCTGCCGGCGCGGAACTCCAGTGGATGAGCTAGAGCTCAAGGACGTGATAGGCACGCTATCCGACAAGGATATGTTGCGCTATCAAAGCTCATACGAGAAGCTGGTGAAGCCCATCCAGGAGGTGTGTGAGCTACAGGAGAAACCCACGAAGATCTTCGGAATCTTGGATGTCCGTGGACAGATTGGTGGCAAGGCCATCATCTGGGAGATGGCAGTGAATGAAGGAGGACTGTACATGGAAGTGCCGCCGGGAACGTGTGGCCTGGCGATGTTGAGCTTCGTGAGGTACTTGAAGAGAAAAGGGATAATCCCTGTTTTGCTTCTGGGTGAGCACCAGGACCTCGGAGTCTTGCGGATGGTGGATCTGTTGTGCATGCTACCCATTTTGGGAGCAGAGAGGATCATGGAGGATGAAGCTGAGAGCTCGTATTATCCCCCATGGGTGTTGCGCTGGAAGAGAAGTGCAAAGGAAGGATCCTTGGTGTTTAAGGAACTGGTGGAGCGAGTGCGAGTGATTTCGATGTTGTCGTGTGATACACTTCGGATTCACGAGCCGGAGCTGAGGGAGAGACCAGTCCCCAAGTGGTCGTTTGTGGCCTACAGCCACTACAGATCCGTGATGGAGTCTGTTGCAGGATTCTTGGAGGACCTGGAGAAAAAGAAAGAGGAGATCACCGACACGCAGAGGGCGGCAAGCTGGAAGAAGGTGGTTGCGAGTGAGACTCGAAGCGGTGTTGTGTGGATCTGCAAGTGTAAGTGGCACTTGCCGACCGACTATGTGGTGAGGTTCAACTTGACGTTGCCTGCCGACATGTGGCAGCAAGCCTTTGGGATCATGGGTGAGAATGTTGGGAAACTCGAGAAGGAGGAAAAGGACCTGAAGCGGATCCTCAAGGCTGCAGCGGAACAGCAAGACCGAGAGTTCGAGGAAGCTGAGCGAAAGCGCAAGCGCATCGCCGACCTGTCAGCTGCCGAGGAAGAAGCTGCTAAGAGAGCAAAGCTGGAAGGCGAAGCGGTTCGCTCGCCTGTGTCAGTTGTACCATCTGAGTTGGATGCAGCAGCTATCGCGCAGATTGCTGAGCGTGTGAAGGCAAGCTTTAGTGTTGCCGATTTGGAGCTGATGTTGGAAGAGAAGAAGAGAAAGGTTGGAGACCAGCCAACTGAGAGGCCTGCGGAGACGCCAGCTGAGCCTAGCCGATCTTCGCAGGATGTGGTGATGGAAACGAGGACGGCTGAGTTGGCGGAGATGAAGGAAGCCGCCAAGGAGCGCCGCGCCAAGTTGATGGAGTCAACTGGAGCTGGCGAGAAGAAGGGCGAAGAGGATGAAGAATGAACTGAGATGCTAAGTGATCTCAGTGGTTGGGTGGGTGAGTGAAACCCGCAGCCATTTTTTTGGAAGCCATGGCCGCGTTGCCGCCATGGAGCGCCCGCGATTTTTCTGGTTAGTGTGAGCCCTTGTTTCAGTGCATGAGAAGTTTGCAAAGAGGAGGCAAAATGATGATGAAACTCAACGAGGGACTCTATAGCCCCTTCTGCAAGGCGTCTGATTGCCACCTCTGAAGACGTTTTTGGCTGATGGTACGCTGGAAGAAGCGAAACTATGAAGCCAATCTTTTCTTGAAGGATCAGCTAGCCGATGCTAGTTGGTGAGTTTGGTGACCTGGAAGATGCGAGACTGAGGAGGAGTACCACGACAAGGTCGAGTGCTGAGTGGGAAACATCTGAAGCTTGCATTAATTCGTTTTCACGTGTTTGTCACCACGAACTCTTGGATTCGTTCCAAGACAACCCTGCCCCAGTGCAGGTGGATGCAAGTTTAATTCGTTTTTCACGTGTTTGGACAACGAACTCTTGGGTTACCAGTGATGTGGACCCAGGACAACCTGCCTGATGGTGGGATCTTGCATGAGTTTTAAGTTTGATGTCAGAGATCGACTGGTGTGTTGTTTGTTTCGTTTGGTGGCGAGTACGCACCAAGGGAATGTGGCCAGGGCATCCCCTTAGTGTTGAAGTGCCGAGCTGGGCTTGGACTTCAGATCTTTGACATGAACCCTCAGCAAAATGCGGGGGGTGGAAGATTGTGGCTGATCATTGATGTTTTTGTCATGTTTTGGATCAGCTTGTATAGGTTTGTTTTGCTTCGGAGTGATTGGGAATCCGTGTGATCCCATCCTCGATGGTTTATGCCTCGTTGATTTCCAAGGAAATCATACGAGTGTGTTTTTGCCCAATACGCTATTTAAAGTGAGTGTGCAGTGTGTAGGAACTTCGTTCTGAAGCTGAGTTTAAGCTCACAAGAGAGAATTCGTTTACTTTGTGCACTTCGTGACTTTTGGCTCAAGTGGCTCTGACTGTGAAAAAGAGAGAGCTGTCCGCACTTGTGTGAGAGGTCAGGGTTCGTGCTTTCAAGGGAAAAGGTACCAGAGGGACCTTCGTTTTTTCACGCCACAGCTCTCAACCTTGCAAACACCCTTTGCCCACAAGATGGCGAACGTATAAATTTCATGCTGCAAAGCCATGTCAGTTGAGCATTAGCTTTCCCAGCCCTTAACCAGACAACCTGTCGTTGTTCAGACTTCTCAACGACTCATTTAGTATTCAACGACTCATCCGTGCCTGTTGTACCGAAGTCTGAGACTGTGACCCGCAAAGGTAGGCATGGATAGAGCTCCATATCGATGGCTTGATGTTTTGGGAATTAGGAGTTGTGTTTTTCAGCCTAAGGAACTGCCTGCCATATCCATTGCTCCCGCAGCATTTGAGAAGTTGACTTGTGCTGCAGATGTGTGGCTCTGCAGAACAGCCAACTGCCAGAGAAGGGAAAAATGCTTGGACCCACAGTGACACTGCTTGTCTGGGCTCGGTGCTTTGCAGTGACTGTCACGCATGTTGGCGATGTTGCATACACCAGCAATGCCTTTGCGGCGAAGAAGGCTGATGGCTCCGTGGCAACCTGGGGTTGGCCGTCAGGAGGTGGAGACTCCAGTACAGTGGCCAGCGCTCTTCTTTCTGATGTGGTTGCGGTCACTGGTGCTTCTGCAGCATTCGCAGCTGTGAAGGCAGACGGAAGCGTAGTTACATGGGGTGAGGCGGAAAATGGTGGCAACTCCTCTGCAGTAGCTGCCGACCTATCTGGAGTGGTGTCTATCACTTCGGCTTCCTATGCTTTTGCAGCTCTCAAGGCGGACGGCAGTGTCACTACTTGGGGCAAGGCGAGCGGAGGCGGAGATTCGAGCAGCGTTTCGAGCAATCTCTCCTCAGGCGTGGAGTCTGTAGTGGGCGCCCACGAGGCTTTCGCTGCAATCAAGACAGATGGAAGCGTGGTCATATGGGGGAACCCACTTGCAGGAGGGGACTCCAGCACGGTTGCCAATGACCTTTTGATGGGGGTGGTGTCCATTACCGCAACTAGCGCCGGCTTTGGGGCGCTGAAGGACGATGGCAGTGTGGTCACATGGGGAGCTGTTGCTTGGAATGTTCCAAGCAGCAACCTCACCTTCGGAGTGATCTCCATCCACGGAACATCATTTGATGCTTTGGCAGCCCTCAAGGCCGATGGCTCCGTGTTGACATGGGGTAATCCTCCTTTTGGCGGTGACTCCAGTGCTGTAGCAGGTGAGCTCTCCGGTGTTAAGCTCATCCAGTCTTCCTTTAACTCGTTCGCGGCCTTGACGAACAGCAGCATTGTGATATGGGGCATGTACGGCAGTACCGTCTTGGCCGTCTCGGGAGTCGAGTCCATTCAATCTACTGCACGCACTTTCGCGGCCCTGAATGCAAACGGCAGCGTAACCATCACTTGGCCTTCGTTCTTTGTTGAGGCAGATTTGAGCAACGTGGCGGACAGTCTCTCATCCGGAGTTCAGGCCATCTACAGGACCACCACTTCCTTCGCAGCCTTGAAGATGGATGGAAGTGTGGTCACATGGGGGGGTGGCAACGGTGGCGGAAACTCCACGTTGGTGGCTAGCGAACTGTCATCTGGAGTTATAGCCATACGAAGCAATCACGAGGCCTTCATAGCTATCAAGGAAGATGGCTCGGCAGTCACGTGGGGGAACGGTGACAAGGGGGGAGACTCCACCGGGGTCGACTTTTCATCGTTGTGGTGGACAACCACCTCGACCATCTCGACCACCTCATTCACGAGTACCAGCAGGACGGTGACTTCAGTGACTTCAACGATGGCTGCCACTGCAGCCCTGGACCCTGGCATCGATGTCTGGCTCATTGTGGGAATCGTGTCGGCTGTGCTTGGAACATGTGCAGCTGCAGTTGCGGCATGGCTCTGCTGGCAACGTGCACGGTCCCGAGACGAGGTGAAGGAAATCCACATCGGTGCCACGATACATCCCTCAGTCAGTGCATAGTCACCTTCTCGTGCCGCACCCCGTTTTTCGCACCAGAACCTTCTCCAAGGCCTCTTCTACGAAATGTAAGGCTTCTGGGCCTTGCTAGAGGAGACAAGTGATTGTGCAGTAAATGCCATGCGTCTCAGACGCGCGAACTTGCACTCTCGCATTGTTTTCCGCGTTTCAAGTTTCACTTGACGTCTTTTCACAACGTCGCAGCAGCACGCATCAAGTGTTGCACGGTGGCATCGTCCCTGCAGAACGTTTCAAGTTTCAATCGTAAGTAGCTTGAATCAGAGCTTCAAACCAGAGGGCCACTTTTGAACACTAAACCATGCAGACCAGACGGGCTAGGCGACTAGGTGACATCTCCTTACGTCCAACGAAAGAGCCATCATGGATGCTCGTGGGGACACGGAAAGCGGGAAGATTCCGAGCATTTCAAGGTTGGGCCTCAGGTTGGGATTCCAGGAAGCCCGTAGGGCTTCTTGGCGTGTCCATTGAGCTTTTGACATGGTTCAGAAACAGCACGCTGTTTGATGTACTACCAGTAGGTTCCTGTGACTTGGGTGTGGCGCTGGTCTCAGATGCCCAGATGCACCCGAATAATGTGCCCAGCACCAACAATCAAATGGGGTGGGGTTGCCAAACTGGTAACATCTCCCGATCCAGTTGTGGCGCAGCGATCTCTGCAAGAATAGCAAAAACACACGACAGTCTTTCCACTTGCTCCATGCTGAAGAAGCCTGCAGAAGCCAATTGTGCAGCCTGCATGCAGCTGTTGCTGCTCGAGTTCACAGGCAGCATCGCCATCGAAAGGCGTGAAAAAGTTTCGCGTTGTCGGAAGACACTGTTGTTACATCCGAGCCAGAACTTGAGGGACCTGGTCTACACAAGTCATTTCATCAAACCACGCTCGGTCTGAGACATGAAGCAGTCAAGCTCATGGCAAGTTGCAGTCTTCAAACCCGCAGATGTCAATGCCCGGCGCAAATCAACAACACACGGCACAACCACGTTCAGGGCACAGCAGTGGAACCTTGATTGCTCGGCATCCGTCCCTTCCGATGTTTTGGCACGCAGCGTCGAAGCTCTGACCTCAGCTGAGATTCCCCAAGCCCACGCCGCAATAAGGTGAGCAAGCCGGATATTAGATTGGTGATTCGCACTGCAAAATTACTTCACCACAAAGGCACCTTGACGTGGCTGCTTTCTGTCGCCCTTGGCTTGCGGGCTGTGGCCGAGGTACACTGCCCCTGGCTTGGCATCGCAATCACAAGAGGTGGGGGGGCACGTTCCATGGTTTAGCCTTTGCAGCTGTGCCCTGATCATCCGTGAGCCGTAGTGCATCTCAGTCTGAGCCCCTTGAGGATTTCAGGCCCGGTCTGGCGCAGAAGGCCGGCGTTGTGCACGGGAGGGGGGTTAAGGTGCAGGTTTTTGAGGTCAGGGTTTAGGGTTCAGGGTTCAGGCATTACGGTAGGGTTTAGGGCTTGCCAGAGGGCATGGACAATGCAGGCTGGATCAACATCCCTGTGGCAGCTGCGTGGCAATGAAGCAGATCAAGCAAGGCCCGTTGCAGGGAGCGAGACATGGTCCTCCATGAGCAGCTCCAGACTCTAGGCTCTAGACTCCGGATGCTGAGAGTTTGCATGGGGAAACCCTTCAAACCCCAAACCTAAACCCCAAACCTAAACCCCAAACCCCAAACCCCAAACCCCAAACCCCAAACCCTAAACCCCCAAAGCCTCGAAGGTCGATCGCAAGCGCTGGCCCTTGCCATCATGACCAGGAGGCCTGGACACCCCAGAGGCGCCTTTGGGGGGTTTAGGGTTTAGGGTTTAGGGTGGCTGCCGGGTAAGGGTATTTCAGAAGCATTTCCCACAGGGGTACCTTGAATATACACCCCAAACCACTACAAGTCCCGATACGAAGAACACCCAAGAAGGGCACCTCTATGTGGGAACCCCTTTTGCACATGTGCAGTTGTGCACTATGTTTTCTGCGTTGTGTAGCCTTGTGCGAGACACAAAGGGCATTTTGCGGCATGTGTCGGGCTTCCTTGATTCCTTGTGCCAGGCCGCCTGTGGCGCCCCTCAGCGGTCTGCAGGCGCAGCACGTGCAGCCTGTGGTTTGAGAGAGGGCGAGGAGTGTGGCTTTGGCAAAAACTGGACCTAGAAGGCTCGTCTGAGGTTTTCGCCCCAAGGCTGTCTGGAACCTTGTCCATCGCATGGGGGCTTTACCGAACCTTGGAAATATGTCCTGCAGCTAAAAAGTAAGGCTTCCCACGTCCGAGAGAAAACCTTCGGACCGTCACAGTCCAAATCCTGGTGATGTGTCTCATGTTCGGGCTGTCTGTGGGTATCTCTAGTGGTCATACGGGCCCAGAGAAATGTATAGCAGGCTCCCCATGTCGTACATTTCCCCGGATGAGTTTGGTTTCAAAGCGTTGCGCAGCTCGTCGAATCTATGCAACGCACACGTGCTGGGATCAAAGGCCAACAATCTGCCTGCTTGAACGGATCCTACACCAAGAACTGCCACTTCTGCGCGGCGCTGAAAGCTCCGAAGCTTGTAGGCGGTCACTCCAAGGACGCTTCTAGAACAAAATTCGGAACAGGTCCATGCTCATAGATGGCAGAGAGCCCCGCCAAACAAACAAATAGATTCAATAAACGTTCACGGTCGCCACCTGTGGCTACGATATAAAGACGCAGCATAAGTGACATCACGGAGGCCCGTAGAATGGCATGTCGTCCAAGAGAGCCTTCTCTATGCCGGACTTCGTGGCTCAACGGGCAACAGGTTTTACTTTCAGAGAGCGAGGGGGAAAAGGCTGTACTTTCAGAGAACGATGCAGCCCGCTAAGAGGGAAACAGAAAGAGGATAATGACAGAAATCATGATTTGAACACATGTCACAAGAGTCCACTGTGCTTTTGTGCCTGCTACCCCCCCAACAATACATGCATAGCGAGGGGGGGATCGTATGTGAGAGTTGGACGCAAGGATCTTTGTTAAACGGTTCCATGATCCCGGTTCTGAATCCGTTGAACAAAGTGACATGATCAAAGCTGCTTGTACAAGGTACACTCTAGACTCTAGTGTTGAGTCGCCCTCCCAACCCGAAGCCGCAAGCCCCTAAACCATAGACCCGAAGCCCGGTAAATCACCCCCACATGATCCAGGGCGGTGCCGCACGACCATCGCAAGGCACACCAAGGTCCGAGTTTTTTGGGGGACCTGTGTGACCTCGGGGTGCCGTGGTTGCTCCCAAGTCGTGGAGTTCGAAGAAGGTCATGGCTTTAGATCTGGTTGTATCTCTCTTTGAGCAGGCCCTGCCATTCAAAAGTTGTTCTACAGCAGTTCGGTAAACTCTCACATGGAAGAAACTTGATCCCACAGATCCCGCAGGCTGGCTCGTCAAAGCTAGAACTTTTTTGCCATCCCATCAGCAATTGGCTGAGGGACGGCTCTTAATGGCAGAGTCTCCTACTACGTTGGGTGCTCCCTCGGAGAGCGAGCCGCTCAACGCAGGCGGCGCAAAGAGGTTCAAGGGCAAGCCGAAGGGCAAGGCCGCTGGCAAGAACATTGTCACAGCTGGCCCAGGCTTGCAGAACCCCACGGAATCGCCAGGGAGTGGCGAGAAGCTCATCGAAGCACCTTTGAGGTTGGAGGACAAGGCTGGGCAAGCGCAGGTCGACAGCGATGAACTTCAGGTTGCTGACCCTGCAGGGCGTGTCCGGAAATTCCGGGCAGGGCACTTTCACAACGCCTTCTTCGAGCCCAACATTCAGGCGATCATCAAGTCTTTGCTCATTAACCTTACGAGTCCAATATATTTCTTGTACAGGTGGACGGACATGGCCTGCGAGGCCTGGGATAAGAGAAAGATTGACGAGAAAAGCGGGAAAGACGAGGGCAGTCATTTGGCAAACTGTGCAAAATCCTTTTACAAGCAAGCTAGCGAGCATCTGTCAGCAGAATGGTGCTACATGTGCCCTTTTCAAACTGCCATCAACTGCAGTGTTCTGGCATGGAGCTTGGCAGCTGATCGAAGCCAGGTGCCTTTGAGCGAGGTCTTCTTGCCTTTGTGGTTTCAGGCCGGCATGAGCTTATCGACAGCTGCAACCAGGAACCTGGATTCTGGTCAGTGGGCGAGATTGAAAGAAAAAGTCGGCAACAAGTTCAAGACAAGGCTCACGAAACTCGTCACCAGTAGCGGAGGAGATGACGATCATGTCGTAAACTGTTCTAAGAAAGACGTCAACGAACTCGTGGAATGGTTGTGGGTGATTTTTCAAGTGGTTGATGGTCAGAGCTACAACTGGAGGTTGGAACGCTGGCAGTGCTTCTTTCTGCTTCTTCTTGGCCTCTGTTTTCGACGAATTTCTCGGCCTGCTTTCTGGGCAGGGGTGACTCGGGCACACCAAATCCTTTTGTTGATCGATCTCCACCGCAAGTTCGTGAACTGCGCACATGAATCACTCACTGAACGTATGCTGCGTCTCCGCCGGAGAAAGAGTTGGAAAGTCAAATTGCCCAAGAAGTTTGTGCAAAAAGAAACATCAAACAGTTCTACAAAGCTGAATGAGTGCGAGAAGTGCGAGGATGAGTGCTGGGATGGGTGGGGGAATTCCGGGGACGAGCTTCTTCCGAAAGATGAAATAACGCGAGAAGCCCACAAGAAGAATCTTGCTCCCTTCATGGCAGACTACCGGGATGCTTATCTCGCGGAAGAGGTGGGCTTGGACAAGCTTGCCGAACAATTGCTTGTGGGGTGGCCAGAGGCACTTGATACTGGTGCGACACAGGTCATCGGCGGTCTCCTGGCAGTCTTCTTGTCGGTTGTTGCGGCGCTCCTACCTGACTATTTGCGTGAGGATCACAAACAAGTCGACTTCAAGTTGCCAGAGGATGACGGGTGCAAGGCGGTATCGGTTATGTTCTGGAGCATGATGTACCTGCACTTCTATGTCTGCTTCGTATACCCTCGTGGCATAATGTTCTTGTTCACTGAGA